CGTTGAGTATGTGGTTTATTGTTTGATACAGCAGAGTAATAGATGGACCCTCATGGTGTGTCCTTGAGTATGTGGTTTTTAGTTTGATACTGTAGAGTAATAGATGGACCCTCATGGTGTGTCCTTGAGTATGTGGTTTTTAGTTTGATACAGTAGAGTAATATATGGACCCTCATGGTGTGTCCTTGAGTATGTGGTTTATAGCTTGATACAGCAGTCTGAGAGTAATAGATGGACCCTCGTGGTGTTGTGTTCTTAGTGCCACACCTGGGATTACTCCTGGGGTACACTTTACACCAATTGAATATGAGTTTGCATTTGCTACAAGTCTAGATGAAAAATTAAGTAGGCTTATTTTTGTTCAAAATGTGACAAATGTTTGGTGTTCAAAGGATAAACTGAAACAATGAGCATTTTTATTTTTGCTTCTGCCAACAATTTATTGACGCACACCTCAAAATAACATAACTAAAATATGGTAATGACATTAATTAATTAATAATAATGATAATAATCATAAACCAAATAATGAAATACAATTACGACAATGAAGCACCAATTAATTGCTTTTCAATGTAGCATCCCATGCATTGAATAAAAAACTACAGTAACTATGTTGACATGTGCATTAAAATCAAGAAACATATGACATAATAAATGACAAATGATGTAGCCAATCAAATTCAATCTAACCTATCTGTAACAGACATGCTTGGTGATTGGCTGTAACAGATATGCTTGGTGATTGGCTGCATCAGAGAACATTTATATGATATACAATTTCGAATAAAAAAACAAAAACATTATACAATTGGTATCTGCAATAAGCTTTAAAATATTTAACTATATTTTTGACTAAATATAAATATGATAAAATACCAAAGTTATAGAACTGAAATTACCGGTACTCAAAAAAAAATCTTAGAATGATGGTTTCTATAGTAACCAGAAACTCTCCAGGAGTAATGGTTTGGGTGGGAAATGACAAACTACAAGAATTACACAATATTGCAAAGGAGTAAGAAGAACTCGGTTAAAATTGTAAAACTTGCATATTTGTTCATATGTAAAAACTTAATGCATGCAATTATAGGCTGAGAGAGTGATTTGTTGATTTTGAGAATTAAAATCTGACCAAAAGTACTAATTACCTGTTGATACACAGCAGGTGGGAAGTGCTCATGACTGGAATTGATCATCACAAGATTTCCTTTCTAGAATAGTCAGCTTTGATTTGTTTTTGAATAATAATTATCTAGGCTAGGTTCCAGTATTATGCCTACTTTAAACAAATATTCAATAAACGTATCAAATTTTATATCAATAATTCTAACAAATATCAAATTGATTTTTGAAATCTTGATCATAGCAGCTAAGATATCAAATATAGTTGTTCAGAAAGTGTCCAATCAGATCAAGCATAATCAAAGAATCGCAAAGTTTGTATTTTTCAAACAATGCTGAGATACATGATAATAGTATGCAATAACAATCACTGGACTACGATGATTTAAATTTTTTGACTTATATAAAGTTAATTTTCAAATGTCAAAATATCCGATAAAACATTTGATCTATTTGCATCTCTGGATGTACAGCTCTACATCAATATTTTTACATAAGAAAGCTACAGTAATAATATATTTGTAAAAGTGTAGCAAAAGAAGAAAAAAAAATAAAAATGCGTCCTAAAAATAAACCAATAGGTAAGAAAGCATGTAATATGAATGACATATGTTTTAGTTTTAGTCTTTAAAAAAAAAATTATAAGTTAGAGTTTTTTTGCTGAAAGTTGGCCTGTCAGCTAGTGTAAAGTCAGTTATATTTTTTTTTACATTTTATCCCATACATTTTACATCATCTATGTGCAACTATGTTCACATAAATTATTACTTTTTATGTGAAAGAAACATTATACACAGAGGTATTTCTACATTGTTACATTCAACATTTTATGTGCTGCAATGTTCCTATAAAACATTATGCTAATTTAAATATGTGCAACAATGTTTCTATGAAGCATTTGTTTGTGTTGTGAATCATGCAACATTTTATGTGCAACAATGTTTCTATACTACATATTTCTTTGTGAATTAGGCAACATTGTATATGTGTGCAACAATGTTGTAACATTGTATTTACACTCATCCATGTGCAACATGTTCAGTTTATTTTTATGTTTATGTATGGGATAAGACAACTACGTACTAAAGAAGATATTAACATTATTAACAAAAACATCCCTGCTTTTGGTCATAGATACCAAAACATCAAGCAAATCTTTTATACATAGCAAAAAGTATCTACAAATGAAGCTAATCCGCTTAAACCTTTTTTTCACATGCAAATTAATGTAACAATGAATGTACATTTCCAAAAAGAATAGATAATAAATGCAAATTTCATTGAATCAATAATTGAAATTTTCCGATAATAAAAATATGATGCATTTCATGCAAAAAAGGTCATAGATTGTTAAGAAAATCATTAAACAATTAATCTAGCTAATAATTTATTTATTGTATAGGCACTGGCAGTATATATGCTAGGTGAATGCTGGTGTAGCTATTTTATTGCTACTTTGTACATTCCTGCTTTAATTGACCAATCACAACATGCTTTTCACATCAGTTGACCAATCACATCATGCTTCTCACATCAGATGGCAAATAGGCACCATGATTGTAATTTCTGTAAGAAATTCAAAAGAATAAGTGAAACTGATGTACATAGATGCAAGAGTGTTTTAAAAGAAAAGGGAGAGAGTCCAAGAAAGCATAAAAAAAAGCCATCAGAGATGGAAGATCCTCCGGAATTTTTACTACAAGTATTTTGGTTGAACACCAATATCTGCAATTATAGATATAGATTTTAATGAGGTCACATGACCATATATGGTCATTAAATATGTAGATTAGATCTTGTGCACAATGTCTACAATAAAGCACTAGTTGAACACCTATATCAGCAATTATAGTGATCCAGATATGATAGTTATGCATTTTAATGAGGTCACATGACCATATATGGTCATTAAATATGTAGATTAGATCTTGTGCACAATGTCTACAATAAAGCACTAGTTGAACACCTATATCAGCAATTATAGTGATCCAGATATGATAGTTATACATTTTAATGAGGTTACATGACCATATATGGTCATTAAATATGTAGATTAGATCTTGTGCACAATGTCTACAATAAAGCACTAGTTGAACACCTATATCAGCAATTATAGTGATCCAGATATGATAGTTATGCATTTTAATGAGGTTACATGACCATATATGGTCATTAAATATGTTTATCAGATCTGGTGCACAATGTCTTCAATATTACATTGTGGGAATGACTATATATGCAGACGTCGGCGATGGTAAACACAATATCCCCAGCCAACAATATATGATGGGGATAACTGCATGCACAGAGTTATTTTTAAAATCACACCATTATGGACATGGTTGTAACGAATATAATCTACACATACCATTCTGCTATGGATGAAATTTAATGACTAACTTACACATTTTTTCCACATAATTTCCAGGAAACGTTCCAAAGTGTCCAGTCCTTGTGGATGTCCCAACGAACCAACCATCATCACATTTTTCCATGACAACCACAACATCACCTTCTATTAATTCCAATTCGTCTTCATTTTGTGGTGCATATGGATAGATTGCACGAAAACTGAGAAGCAAATAAAAACACAGTATAAGATACGAATACAGTTAAACTGTTGCTGTGCAATGCTTGTTTGATTATGATGTAAACAAACAATGAATTTTATTATGTTGCATGGGACCCATATCAAACACAACATGGCATGATAATTGTGAAGCTTTAAGAAGCGACTCATAGTAGCCATCATGAATGCCCTTAAACCTTTGAATGCCACATTTGTCACCACCATTCAAAAAATTTAAACACCATTTTTCATGATTTTTCTAAAATTTTGAAAATTATTGCCATGTGCAAAATGTTGTGCCATAATTCAGCCAGGAAAAATTATGATGCATAGAGGGCTAAGGTGTCAAATTCCAAAATTGTGGATAGCGAAAATGTGGCATGTGACAAATGTTGAGAATATTTAAACATTTAAACAAACAATGGGTTTACATACATTGTAAAAGTCACATAGAATCCATATCGAACACAACATGGCACAGTGACTGACCGTTTTAAGGAATATAACGATACTACTTACTGTTCTTGTACGGGTGGCGTAGGTGGGGGTGGTGGCATGTCTCGCTGTTGGTAATACTGATGCGATACCGAAGGGGAAGACTGTACTGGCTGACTACGTTGCTGCTGGTATATTTGTTCCTGTGGATTTAATTGCAAAGAATAGTTAGAATAGGCACAGAATGTTCTCTTGACGGAAACCAAGTTGGTATTTTAATCTTATGTCGCTTAAAGCAGTACAGTCAAGGCGCAGCACATGTCTGAACTTCAGCAAACATACAATGTATTTTACACATGTTGTATACGTCCCTATGAGTCCCATATCAAACATAACGCTGTGTGATGACTGTAGCGCTTTAAACTCCAGTGCGAAGTACCACGAAAGGAAATAAACATTCGATGTGAAGCTAATTCAAACTATTCATTGAATTGTGCTGTGACTGTGCTGTTACACAACAAAGACAAATTGAGTCACATTTAATCTGTACTTATTTAGCTCTACACTTCAAATTGATTAGATTTTCAAAAAAAATTTGCAAATGTAAGTAAGCATATGATATACACAGTTGTAAATTACTGGTACTCTAACCTTAGGTTTCTGTTTAACAGGACTGTGCTGCTGTTTTTGTCGCTGTTGGGGTTGACTTGATGGGCTTTTCTGTGCCGGTGAGACTAAAAGAAAAATAAATAAATGAATACGTATTATATAAACTATAAATCTTTTCATCACAAATCCAAAAAATAGTCCCATTTATAGTCTGCACTTTTCTTCAGAAGATTAGGACAAAAATAGCAAAATTTTTGAGTAAAAACTGAAAATCGACTAAAATTTTGTCTATTGGCTCCAAAATTAGGGTTCATTTCCAAAAATATTGAAGAATATAAAGAAAAAAGTACAGACAAATTTGGCAGAGAAAGTTTGGTGGTAAATAGGTTATAAAAGCAAAGCAGTGTGAATAAATTTTATGTTAACAAACAATGTGTAATTTTGAAAGCATGTCATGTTGCATGAGATTTGTAACAAATACAATATAGTGGATGAACCTGGCAATTCATAATATTGACAACTACTACCAAAGCCAAGAACAAAATTCACACTTAAAGGCCCAGGTATACTATAAATACGCTCTTAAACAATAGGGATTATTTCCTTGCTTGTCACACTGTAGTAAACAGCTCCAGCCAAGCTCCGGTAAAAACGCGTTTTCTCTAACTTACAGGTCGATTATGTCGTGCCAAAGTAGATATATGTTACTATGAATATCACAGCAGTGACTGTGTGTAGTATTTATTACAATAAATAGTGTACAAGTTGAGATTTTGGCGGATAAAAGTAAAAAACAGGAACTGGGGAAAGGGACGCGCTACTAATCTTGAATAATTAACTGCTGTCAATCAAAGTCACGTTATGTTGGACTGCTGAAACAGGATGTGTCATAGGCTACGTAAGTGATTAACAACACTCATTAGCATAGTCACACCTCCAATTTACACTTGCCCGGGGCAAGTGAATTGGGCCTTTAAGGATGTAGTAGAGGTTTTTTTCTTTGAAAATATCAAATTTACTTTTTTTCCATATTCTCTTATACGAATATATGAAGCATGCATTTAACTAGAAAAAAACA